ATGACAGATATTTTTTACCCTTTGCAGGTTTATCCTCCTTTCAGCATTTTTTTTTATGACAGATTCTTTTACCCTCTGCAGGTTTATCCTCCTTTCCATATTTTTTTTTTTTATGACAGATTCTTTTACCCTCTGCAGGTTTATCCTTCCATATTTTCAGCATTTTTCTTTTTTATGACAGATTCTTTTCACCCTTTGCAGGTTTATCCTCCTTTCAAAAAACCTTCCATTTTTCTTTTTTTATGACAGATTCTTTTACCTTTTTTCTGCAGATTTATCCTCCTTTCAGATTTATTTTTTTTTTATGACAGATTCTTTTTTTTTACCCTTTGCAGGTTTATCCTCCTTTCAGCATTTTTTTATTTTTTTTATGACAGATTCTTTCAAAACCCTCTGCAGGTTTATCCTCCTTTCAGCATTTTTTTCTTTTTATGACAGATTCTTTTACCCTTTATGCAGGTTTATCCTCCTTTCAGATTTATCCTTTTCTTTTTATGACAGATTCTTTTACCCTCTGCAGGTTTATCCTCCTTTCAGCATTTTTCTTTTTATGACAGATTTTTTCACCCTTTGCAGGTTTATCCTCCTTTCAGATTTTTTTTTTATGACAGATTCTTTCACCCTTTGCAGGTTTATCCTCCTTTCAGCATTTTTTTTTTTTTTATGACAGATTCTTTTACCCTCTGCAGGTTTATCCTCCTTTCAGCATTTTTTTCTTTTTATGACAGATTCTTTCACCCTCTGCAGGTTTATCCCTCCTTTTCAGAAATAAGAAAATCTTTTATGACAATTCTTTTCTTTTTTTCAGGTTTATCCTCCTTTCAGCATTTTTCTTTTTTTTACCCTCTGCAGGTTTATCCTCCTTTCAGCATTTTTTTTTTTTTATGACAGATTCTTTCACCCTTTGCAGGTTTATCCTCCTTTTCAGCCTCTTTCCTTTTTTATGACAGATTCTTTTACCCTCTGCAGGTTTATCCTCCTTTCAGCATTTTTTTTTTTTTTATGACAAATTCTTTTACCTTTTTGATTTATCCTTTTCTCATTCCTTTTATGATATTTTTTTTCTTTTTTTCCTTTTTTTATGACAGATTCTTTTACCCTCTGCAGGTTTATCCTCCTTTCAGCATTTTTTTTTTTTATGACAGATTCTTTTTCATACCCTTTGCAGGTTTATCCTCCTTTTTGCATTTTTTTTTTTTTTGACAGATTCTTTTACCCTCTGCAGGTTTATCCTTTTCCTTTCAGCATTTTTTCTTTTTATGACAGATTCTTTCACCCTTTGCAGGTTTATCCTCCTTTCAGCCTTTTTTCTTTTTTATGACAGATTCTTTACACTGTATTTTGCAGGTTTATTTCCTTTTTTTTTTCAGATATATCAAAACCTTCCATATTTTCTTTTATGACAGATTCTTTTTTCCATTTTTTTTATCCTCCTTTCAGGTTTATTTTTTTTTCTTTTTATGACAGATTCTTTTACCCTCTGCAGGTTTATCCTCCTTGCATTAATTTTTTTTTTTTCTTTTTTATGACAGATTCTATTTTTTACCCTCTGCAGGTTTATCCTCCTTTCAGCATTTTTTTTTTTTATGACAGATTCTTTCACCCTTTGCAGGTTTATCCTCCTTTTTTTTTTTTTGACAGATTCTTTTACCCTCTGCAGGTTTATCCTCCTTTCAGCATTTTTTCTTTTTTATGACAGATTCTTTCACCCTTTGCAGGTTTATCCTCCTTTCAGAAAGCCTTTTTTCTTTTTATGACAGATTTTTTACCCTCTGCAGGTTTATCCTCCTTTCAGCATTTTCTTTTATGACAGATTCTTTCTGTATTTGCAGGTTTATCCTTTTTTTTTTTTTTGACAGATTATCAAACCCCTTGCAGGTTTATCCTTTTCCATTTTCAGCATTTTTTTTTTTTTTTGACAGATATTCTTTCCACCATTTGCAGGTTTATTCAGAAATAAGAAAATACACTTTCAGCATTAATATTTTTTTTTTTTATGACAGATTCTTTTACCCTTTCTGCAGGTTTATCACTGTATTTTCAGCATTTTTCTTTTTTTGACAGATTCTTTCACCCTTTGCAGGTTTATTTCCTCCTTTTTTTTTTGACTTTATTTTTTTACCCTCTGCAGGTTTATCCTCCTTTCAGCATTTTTTTTTTTTTATGACAGATTCTTTCACCCTTTTCAGGTTTCCTCCTTTCTTTTCCTTTTGATTTTTTCTTTTTTCAGGTTTATCCTGTATTTTTTTTTTTTTGACAGATTCTTTCTTCCCTTTGCAGGTTTATCCTCCTTTCAGCCTCTTTTCTTTTTATGACAGATTTCTTTTGATTTATCCTTTTTTTTTATCCTTCCTTTAATATTTTTTTTTTTTTTATGACAATTCTTCCATATTTTCAGTTGATTTATTTTTTTTTTTACATGACAGATTTATTTTTACCCTCTGCAGGTTTATCCTCCTTTCATATTTTTTTTTTTTATGACAGATTCTTTTTACCCTTTGCAGGTTTATCCTCCTTTCTCTTTTTTTTTTGAGAGATTCAAAACCTTCCAGGTTTATCCTCCTTTCAGCATTTTTCTTTTCAGAAATGACAAATTCTTGTACCCTTTGCAATATTTTTTATTTTTCTTTTTTTTTTTATGACAGATTCTTTTACCCTCTGCAGGTTTATCCTCCTTTTAGCATTTTTTTTTTTTATGACAGATTCTTTTTTTATCCTTTCCTTTTTTTCTTTTTCTGCAGGTTTATTTCCTCCTTTCAGCCTTTTTTTTTTTATCAAAAGATTTTTTTTGATTCTGCAGGTTTATCCTCCTTTTTGCATTAATATTTTTTTTTTTTTGACAGATTATCAAAAAACCCATTTGCAGGTTTATCCTTTCAGAATTAAGAAAATTTTTTTGACATTGACATTTTTTCTTTTTTTCAGGTTTATCCTCCTTTTCAGCATTTTTTTTTTTTGACAGATTCAGAAACCCTTGCAGGTTTTCCTCATTTTCATTTTTTTTTTCTTTTTATGACAGATTGTTTTTACCCTTTTCCATTGCAGGTTTATCCTCCTTTCAGCATTAATTTTTTTTTTTTTATGACAGATTCTTTCAAAAACCTTCCATATTTCCCTGTTGATTTATTTTTTTTCTTTTTTATGACAGATTCTTTTACTTTTCTGCAGGTTTTCCATATTTCCTTTTTTATTTTTTCTTTTTTTTATGACAGATTTTTTTTTTTCTTTCACCCCTCTTGCCATATTTTATCCTCCTTTAAGAAAATTTTCTTTTTGCATTAATATTTTTAGATTTCTTTTTCCTTTTCCAGAAATAAGAAAATCTGCAGGTTTTATCCTCCTTTATTTCCTTTTGATTTTTCCTTTTCCATGACAGATTCTAAGAAATTACACTGTATTTTCCTCCTTTTTTTTTTTTTTTTATGACAGATTCTCAAAAACCTTCCATATTTGCAGGTTTCAGAAATAAGAAAATCCTCCTTTCATTAATATTTTTTTTTTTTTTTTCAGATATATGACAGATTTCTTTTTACCCATTTTAAGGTTTATCCTGTATTTCATTTAATATTTTTTTCTTTTATGACAGATATTTCAAAAACCTTCCATATTTCCTTTTGATTTATCATTTTTTTTCTTTTCAGAAATAATTCTTTCACTGTATTTGCAGGTTTTTTTTCCTTTTTATTTTTTATGACAAATTCTTTCATATTTCTGCAGATTTATCCTCCTTTTTACTCATTTTTTTTTTTTTTTTTTGACAAATTCTTTTATTTGCAGGTTTATTTTTTTCATTTTTTTTTTCTTTTTATGACAGATTCTTCAAAACCTCTGCAGGTTTTCCTGTTGATTTATCCTTTTCCATTTCAGAAATAAGAAAATACTCTGTATTTGCATTAATATTTTTTTCATTTTTTTTCAGACAGATTCTTCCATATTTCCTGCAGATTTATCCTTTTCCATCCTTTCAGAAAATTTTTTTTTTTTTGCATTATCAAAGATTATTTTTTATCTTTTTGCAGGTTTATCCTCCTTTCCATATTTTTTTTTTATGACAGATCCTTTTTACCATTTCTGCAGGAAAATACACTGTATCCTTTCATTATTTTTTTTTTTTTTATTCAGATTATCAAAACCCCATGCAGGTTTATTTCCTCCTTTCAGCATTTTTTCTTTTATGACAGATTTTTTTTTTTTTTCAGATATATCTTCTCCTTTCAGTTGATTTATTTTTTTTTTTAAGAAACAGATTCTTTCTTTTTTTTGCAGATATATAAAAACCTTTATCCTCCTTTTGATTTATCCTTTTTTTATGACAGAAAATACTTTTACCCTTTAATATTTTTTTCTTTTTATTCAGATATATCAAAAACTTTTTATGACAGATTGATTTCACCATTTTTGCAGAAAATACACTGTATTTGCATTAATTTTTTTTTTTTATTCAGATATATCAAAACCTTCCAGGTTTATTTTTTCATTTTTACACTGTATTTGCATTAATATTTTTTTTTTTTTTTCAGGTTTATCCTCCTTTCCATTTTCCTTTTGATTTACAGATTTTTTCCCTCTTCAGAAAGGTTTATCCTATTTGCATTAATTTTTTTTTTTTTTTACAGATTCTTTCAAAAAACCTTTTGCAGGTTTATCAGCCTTATCCTTTTTATGACAGATTTTTTACCCTCTGCAGGTTTATCCTCCTTTCATTTTTTTTTTTTTTTATGACAGATATTCAAAAACCTTGCATATTTTATCCTGATTTATCATTTTTTTTCCATGACAGATTCTTTAACCCTCTGCAGGTTTATCCTCATTTTCATTTTTTTTTTTTTTCAGATATCTCAAAACCCTTCCAGGTTTATCCTCCTTTCATCCTTTTTTTCAGAAATACAGATTCTTTTACCCTCTGTAGGTTTTCCCTCCTTTCATTTTTTTTTTTTTATTCAGATTATAAGAAAAAACCTTGCAGGTTTTTTTTTATCCTTTTTATCCATTTTTTTTTTCTTTTTAAGAAAATACTTTGTATTTGCATTTTATTTTTTTTTTTTTATTCAGATATATCAAAACCTTCCATATTTTCTGCAGGTTTATCCTTTTTTTTCAGAAATTTTTTATTTTATTTTTTTTTGACAAATTCTTTCCATATTTTTTTTGGTTTATCCTTTTCATTTCAGAAATTTTTGATCAAATTCTTTTTACCCTTGCAGATTTATCCTCCTTTCAGCATTTTTTGCATTTTTTTTATTTTTATTTTTTCCATATTTCCTGTTGGTTTATCCTTTTCCTTTCCTTTTTTTTTTTTTATTACAGATTTTTTTTTTTATTCAGATTATCAAAACCTTTCAGCATTTTTTCTTTTTATTATCAGATTCTTTTACCCTTTGCAGGTTTATTTCCTTTTTTCATTCAGATATTTGTAAATGACAGATTTTTTTTTTTCCTGTTGATTTATCCTTTTCCTTTTCAGAAATAAGATTTTTTCTTTTTTGCATTAATATTTTTTTTTTTTTTATTCAGATATATCAAAGGTTTCCATATTTCCTTTTTGATTTATTTTTTTACCCAGAAATAAGAAAATCCACCCTTTCATTAATATTTTTTTTTTTTTTATTCAGATATATCAAAAACCTTCCATATTTCCTTTTGATTTATCCTTTTCCATTCAGAAATTTCACTGTATTTTTTTTCTTTTTTTTTATGATCAAAAAACCTTTTACCCTCTGCATTTATCCTTTTCCATTTCAGCCTGTATTTCATTAATATTTTTTTTTTTATGACAGATATCTTCATAAATCCTTTTTTCATTCAGGTTTATCCTTTTTATTCAGATTTCAAAAATTTATTTTTTTATCCTTTTTCATTCAGAAATATTCTTTTACACCTATGCAGGTTTATCCTATTTTTTCTTTTTTATTTTTATATCAAAACTTCCATACCCTGTTGATTTATCCTCCTTTTTTTTTCAGAAATATGAAAATTCTTTTTATTTGCAGGTTTATATTTTTTTTTTTTTTTCTTTTATATCAAAAAGATTCCATCTGCAGGTTTTTCCTTTTTGATTTATTTTCTTTTTTATGACAGATTTAAGAAAAATACACTTTTTGCATCCTTTATTTTTTTTTTTTTCAGATATATCAAAAACCTTTCATTTCCTTTTGATTTATCCTCCTTTCAGATTTTTTCTTTTTACCATTCTTTATTTGCATTTTTATTTTTTTTTTTTTTTATTCAGATATATCAAAAACCTTCCATATTTCAGGTTGATTTATCCTTTTTCATTTCAGAAAATAAGAAAATACACTGTATTTGCATTTATTTTTTTTTTTATTCAGATATATCAAATTCTTTCCATATTTCCTTTTGCAGGTTTATCCTTTCCATTTCAGCATATTTTTTAATATTTTTTTTTTATTTTATTCAGATATTCAAAACCTTCCATATTTCCTCCTTTTGATTTATCCTTTTTTATGACAGAATTAAGAAAACCCACTGTATTTTATTAATATTTTTTTTCTTTTTATTCAGATATATCAAAAACTTTCCATATTTCCTTTTGATTTATCCTTTTCTCATTCAGAAATGAAAAATTCTTTTACCCTATTCAGGTTTATTTTTTTTTTTTTTTTCTTTTTATATCAAAATTCTTCCATATTTTTTCTGCAGATTTATCCTTTTTTGATTTTCTTTTTTCAGAAATAAGAAAATACACTGTATTTGTATTAATATTTTTTTTTTTTTATTCAGATATTTCAAAACTTTCCATATTTCCTTTTGATTTTATCCTTTTTCATTTTACACTGTATTTGCAGGTATTTTTTTTTTCCTTTTATTCAGATTTATCAAAAACCTTCCATATTTCCTGTTGATTTATCCTTTTTCCACCCTAAGAAAATACACTGTTTATCCTCCTTTTTTTTTTTTTTATTATGATATATCAAAAACCTTCCATATTTTATGTTGATTTATCCTTTTTTTTTCAGAAATAAGAAAATACTTTTATTTGCATTAATATTTTTTTCTTTTTATTCAGATTTATCCTTCCATTTTTCTGTTGATTTTCCTTTTTTTTTATGAAACAGATTTGCATTAATATTTTTTTTTTTTATTCAGATATATACCCTCTGTTGATTTATCCTTTCCTTTCAGAAATAAGAAAATACACTTTTTTATTTTTTTTTTTGACAGATTCTTTCAAAAACCTTCCATATTTCTGTTGATTTATCCTTTTTCATTTTAAGAAAATCTGTATTTGCATTAATATTTTTTTTTTTTATTCAGGTTTATCAAAAACCTTCCATATTTCCTTTTGATTTATCCT